GGAAACCATGCCCTATGAGGAGCGACTTAGGGATCTGGCATGCTTAGCCTAGAGAAGAGAAAAAGAAGAGGTAACATGATAGACTTGTTAAAATATTTGAGGGGATGTCATCCTGAAGATGGAGCAAGCTTGTTTTCTGCTACTCCAGAGACTAGGACATGGAGGAATGGACTCAATCTACAGGAAAAGAGATTCCACCTTAACTTTCTGATGGTAAAAACTATTCAACAGTGGAATATGCTGCCTTGGAGAGTGGTGGAATCTCCTTCTCTGGAGTTTTTTTTTTTTTTTTAAAATGGGGGCTGGATGGTCATCAATCAGAAGTCCTTTCATTATGCTTTCCTGCATGGCAGAATGAGATTGGACTAGATGACTGGCTGGAAGGGCCTGGATGGCCCTTCCAACCCTATGATTCTATACAATCATGCCCATAAAGGTTTGAGACAGCCCTGTCTCCCTGTAGGCTTCCTGGAATAACCTGTTTGGTCAGTGGTATAAGCAGAATAAGAGCCCAGTTGGCTCTCAGCTCTGATCCTATGGAGTCCTTGCTTCTCCATCCACTACTCCCTTAACTGCAACCTTCTCAAATGGCCACAGCTTGAAAAATTACTACATCTCCGGAATCCCCCAGCCAACATGGCTGTGGCATTGCAGGTGCCCCAGAACTTTGCAAATGACTTTGTGCTAAAAATCAAATGTTAGTTGATCTCTTGTTTTTTGGCTTGCAGTCCCCTAGTGTTGCCTTTGAAGCAATTCCTAGCTTCAGATGGCAGAGTGACTCATTGGGCACTGCAGGAGTGAAGGGTGGAGCAACACGGATGGCAGGGGGCTGAGATGTTTTCCAACTCATAAAGAGCAAAATATCACTCTTTTTTTCCTCTTACAAATCAAGGTACTGCGTAAATGAAGCTCCAGGCTTGTTTTTCTTAATATCAGTGGCATGTAAAGCTATAAAAACCAGTGCTGAAGAAACAACAAATAACAGGTTTAAAATGTTGAAGCAAAAAGGATGCATCGTAATAGAGAGTATAGTACCAACACAAACTAAAGTGAAGAGATAGAATCATAGAGTTGGAAGAGACCACAAGGCCATCCAGTCCAACCCCATTCTGACATGCAGGAACTAAAAAACAAAGCACCCCCAACAGATGGCCATCCTGCCTCTGTTTAAAAACCTTCAAAATAGGAAACTCCATCACACTCTGAGGGAGGAGTGTCTTCCACTGTCAAACAGCTCTCACTGTCAGGAAGTTCCTCCTAATGTTGAGGTGGAATCTCTTTTTCTGTAGCTTGCATTCATTGTTCCAGGTCCTATTCTCTGGAACAGCAGTAAACAAGCTAGCTCCCTCCTCAATATGAGACCCCTTCAAAAATGTATACAGGCCTCTAATATCACCTCTTAACCTTCTCTTCACTAGGCTAAACATACCAGCTCCCTAAGTCTCTCCTCATAGGGCATGGTTTCCAGACCCTTTACCATTTTGGTTGCCCTCCATCTTCTCAACATCCTTTCTGAATTGTGGTGCCCAGATCTGGAAACAATATTCCAGATGAGGCCTGACCAAAGCAGAAAAGAATAGTACTATTACTTCCCTTGATATAGACACTATACTTCTATTGATGCAGCCTAGAATTGCATTGGGCTTTTTAGCTGCTGCATCACACTGTTGGCTCATGTTTGATCTGTGGTCTAC